TGCTAAGAGATTGGTGGCAGGACGCTCGGCTAACCGTTTCGATTCGACAACCCCAGACAAATGGCCACATTAAAGCGTTCGCCTTAGAAATTACCCATTTTGGAATACACGAAACTGTAGAGAGATATAGGAGCTTGCTAATTCCGAGGGTGTTAACGATGAGTGATCGGCCGACAAGAGAAAGAGAGCGGGATTTCCATAGATTTAGATGTTTTTCTAATTTCTCTAGTTTTGGCTGCCAGTTATCTAATTCAGTATCGCGGCCGAAAACAACACCCAGAATTTTAATTTTTGTTACCCATTTGAGGCCAAGTGGTTGGTTGTCGCGCGTATGCCACACCCCCAACCACATGGCCTCTGTTTTCGTGAGATTAAGGCGTGCCCCATAGCCACGCTCTTAAATATTAATCATGTTGAATAGAACTTGCCGAGCGCGATTAAGATTTCACTATACAGGTCGTAACGTCAGCATAATTTCCAACTTTATAGCAGAGACCATGTGCGCCCGGAAGGAGAAAGCCTTCGATTTCAGGATTATTTCGCATTTTGCATGCGAGAGTTTCAACGCACAAAACATAGAGCTGGGGAGACAGGGAATCCCCCTGTCTTACCCCACGAAACAAAGGAATCACATCGGTTAGACATTCATTAACAATAACACGCATATTGGCCTCATTATATAAAGTGTTGATCCCAAAACAAAAAGAAGGGCCAAAACCAAAACGGGGTAAGAGGCTTTGCAGAAAGGTACGATTAACGCGATCGAAGGCTTTGTCTTAATCTAAACTTGATCTAAACTGAGCGGTGTCAGAAATTAAAGGGATAACGGAATTGTCTCCGTCAACTAAACGTTGACCAAGACGGATCAATTTGTTCGTCAAAATCACCTGGTCTCTTTACAATTGTCTTCGCTTTTTACGGGAAAAGGAGATCGTTTCTTCTTTAATAGACTGTTTTAAAAACTCCTTCCAATCGTGGAGAGACGGAAAACAAGATAAAAAACGTACATGATCATCGATTAGTTTCTCTATAGTAGCGCAAAAATTTTTCGTTCAAAAGAGAGTTGTTGAAACACCAAACGCCTGGACCACGTTTTACGGTCAAGGGTAAGAAAAACAAAATCGTGGTCGGATATCGAACAAGGGCGAATGTCACACTTAACGTTGGGTGATAATAAATCTTTCGAAATTAAAAACTTGTCAAGTCTACTCCCAATTGACCGTGTGGAATTAAACCACGTAAATTCTCTTGATCTTGGATGCAAATTTCGCCAAACATCTGAAAGCGCGAAATCACTTTTTAAAGATTCGTAATCTT